GGACACGCGTGCGGGAGGCAGGCTCGACTCTCAGATTCTCAACACGACCAGCCAGGCCGGGGCGCCTGTGTCAGGTCTGCCTGGAGGGAGTCCCGGGGGCAGCTGTCTGACACCCGAAGACCCGAGGGACCAGGTCAGACCTGCCGTTGGTTCCAGCCTTGTCTCCAAACCCGCAAGGACGAGAGGCCGTCCGGCCCACCCCCGGGAAGAGAAGCCGAGCCCTCAGGTCTGAGCGGGCTGGGTCTGTGCCCCGTGGCTGTCCTGTGGCTGGGCGGGTGGGGCAGGAATGCGTGTCTCACTCGTCCGCTCTCCCCTCGAGTGGAATCGCTTTAAAGTTTGCTTCCTGCCTCTCGCCGCCTTCCTGGAGTCACCCCTCTGCATCCGGAGAAGCGAGCACGCAGGGCCGCCGTGACCCTGGGTGTCACGTGAGCACGTGGGGTGCTGGGGGTGGACTCAGGATGCGGGATCCCGGTTCTCAGGAGAGCAGGACGGGGTGAGGTGGGGGGACACCGTGAGGACACCTCCCACCCCCCTCCCCACACACAGAAAACAAGGCTAAGCCGACTAGAGAAGCCGGCTCACAGTTTGGGGCAGACCCGGTGTCAGACTGTAGCCCTGTGCCGGTTGGCAGAGGTGAACTACAGCGTGGAAAAGGGATCTAGAATGTTCAAAAAAATAAGTGAAACTCGGCTCCAAAAGCTTCTATAATGGACCAGAGAAAAAGGGGGGCCCCCTCCAACGTTAGAGAGAACAGAGCTGGGAATGGGCCTCGGCGAGGCTGAACCCCATAACCTCCGAGCCTCAGGCCCGTTTTTCCACAGCAACGCGGGTTACGTGTTTCAGGCAGAATTAATTTCACTTTCTGTTATTCCTCGGTGTATCAGAAGCGTTTATCGAGGGGAAGTTCTCTCGCGGTTCCCAGAACCCTCTGAGGACGCCTGGTCTTGTGGGCGATGAAGTGGGGGGAGGCTGCAGGCCCCTTAGTCGGCGGCGGCGTTTGGGGGGTATTGGGGGGAGAGCTGGCTCCCTGACTCACAGACCGGCTCCCTCAGCAGTGGGGGGAGGCCTGGAATTAGCTCTTATTTCCCCCCAGACAGGGGAAAAAGTCAGGAGGACAGGCCGTCGTCAGACAGATTTGGGTTAACGCTCAGGTGGTGCACGGAAGGTGAGGCACTGCGTTCATCGTTGCTGTTGAAACATCCCTAATATTTTTACACCTCGCCGCTCATCTGTCACCCAGTGACGATCTATCGTCCTTCTGCCGGTTTTCACAAGCACGTGTAAAACCTAACCCACCTCCCGGGGAGTAAGCTGTGGACAGAGTCCGGGCTCAGGGGCTGGTGGGGGGGGGGGACATGACCCAGTCTACCAACGACCCCCACGGTGGCCAGAAAGAATGACAGTAGCTCCTAAGTGACTGGTGCCCTCCCCAGGGGTGGTCTGGGCTCAGAGAAAATCTGTCCTGCTGATTACAGGTGATTTAGTGATTGATGGAGGTGACGGACTCCTCACAGCCAGAGAGACCGGCTTAGCGTCACTGGCAAAGGTCCGCAGTTTGGAGTCAAAGGTCTCACTGAGTGTGTAAGTGGGACGTGCTTGGTCCACCAAGCTCCAGGGCAAAACACAGTCCCCACTGCAGGCCTTGGAGGAGTCCACTGGGTACCCACGTCCCTGGGCCAGCTTCGAACGCCTTGCTCTGCCTTTTGGCAAAGTAACTTTATAAACAGAAGGAAAAGGCCTTTCTCCAAACGGGAAGCAACCCAGAGACCCTACATTTAAACGATTTCTAAGTTGTTCTGAATTCTACGTTTCCTCTTCTGAAAAATGCTTCCGTTAAATCACTTCTTTCAAATGTGAACCCAAGGCAAGCGAGGTCAAGTCCCGTCTTCCTTTCCTGGGACCCCCCCCCACGGTGGTCTGGACTTTCGTTTGCCTTTTCAAATCCCATGGGAGACGGATCCATGCCTCACACAGCAGTATAGGTGACTAATGATGCTTTAATGTGTCCCTTCCAAAGGTGTTTATATTTTAGCCAAATATTAAACCTCAGGCCCTATAAAAGAATCTCATAGAATTTAGCCACGGGGGACAAAAGGGAGAATTTGGAGAGAAATAGTTTCCCCCCAGCACCCTGAATTCCCACCTACGGCTCCATGTGCATTTCCCCTATAACACCCCCCCTTTTTTTTTACACAAAAACAAGATGCATGGTTTCTTTCCCTGTGGATCTGTGAAGTACACCGTCAGTGTCTGTATTTTTCTTAATAGTTATTTATGAAACTGTCTTATGACAAAATCCTTGAGAGGAAACATTTCTTCCTACTCAGCTCCGTCTTCACCTTACGCCAGCTCGCTGCCCGTCACCGGGAGGCCCTCAGCGGGCAGCAGTGAGGGCTGTTTATTACCCATGAGACTCCTCTAAACGCATGTGGCAACATTGTTTCTCAGCAGTGAGGGCTGTTTATTACCCATGAGACTCCTCTAAACGCATGTGGCAACATTGTATCTCTAAGTCCCGCTGGGAACGGGGGCACGCGGGTGGCTTTTCCTGAAGAGTGTTTTGTGAAGCCTCCGCACACTGGTCGTAGAACAATAACAATTTCAGAAGGGCGCCCACTTAGTGAGCATTTACTATACGCTGGGATCCCAGCGCCGGGTGCCGTGCCCACATGGATTCATTTATCCCTTTCGAAACCTCGTCAAGGGAAGTATTGCTCCTCCCTCCATCCCTCCAGACCCGTAAACACCACACACAGGATTTTACAGATGAGAAAATGAATCTTCCAGAAAGACAGACAACCTGCCCCCCCCCCCC